CCACTCCAGTGTTCTTGCCTGGAGAATCCCAGGGACGGAGGAGTCTGTGGGCTGCTGTCTATGGGGTCGCACAAAGTTGGACATGACTGAAGCGACTTAGTAGCAGCAGCAGCAGCAGTAACTTCCACTTTTAAAACAATAACTAGAATAAGGTTAGAGGAATTTAAATCTTAGTTTAATCAATAATATCCAGCATTGGCAAGGATATGGGTGGGGAGGGCAGTTTCATCTCCAGTTGGTAATGGAGTAAATCAACACAACTTTTCTGGAGAAGAATTTGGAAGTACTTACTAGACTATATGGTTCCATTTCTACCTTCAGAAATATTCACACATGTGTAGAGGCAAATGTGAATGGATTTTCATTATGGTATCATTTATATCATGAAAAATGAAGACAACTACAGCGTCTAACAACAGAAAAGAAGTCAATAATTTATGGTATATTCCTTCACACCTGGAATGCCCGGCAGCATTTTAAAAGAAAGGGATAGATAGGTCTTTGATATAGGAAGATGCCAAACACATTATTGAAAACAATTACGCATGTATGTAAAATATGTATGTGTGTGTATATTTGGCATATAAAAATGTTTATATAAAATACAAATATTCATATGTGTTTGTGAGGGGATCAAAAGAAGATCTAGAAGGCTACCCAATGATCTCTATGCAGTTTAGAATTGGTAGAAAAAAAAAAAAACTCTCCAAAACACAGAGACCAGAGTGGTGGAGGGTTAGGGGCAAAAGGAGGACGAAATGGGTAAAGGTGATCAACCATAAGGTGATGGATAGAAACCACATTTTTTGGTAGTGAGCATACTGTAGCATACATAGAAATAGAAATATAACATTGTAGATGTAAAACATATAATGTTATAAACTAATGTTACTTCAATAAAAAATAAATCTGAGAAAAAGTTTTAAAAAGAAGAGTGAGTTGAAGAGGACACGGAGCAAGCAATTAGTGAGGCAAGAGACTAGTTTTTTACTTAGTACACTCCTTATTGCTTGATTTCTTTCAAAACAGGCACTCACTATTTGACACATAAAATAAGAAATTCAAATGAAAGCTCATTAATCACCAATTAATAACTGGTCAGCAACCATTATTGTGACTTCCTTCAACTTCCCAGCCTATGAAGACACAGAAAAACAGAAACTCACCAAAACAGAAAACTTAATGCCTAAGTGTAGACAGAATTTCTGTGGATCCAATGAAGCTAGAAGGAGAATGTACCATACTTTGTCCCCAAAGGGGAACATAGAGGATAGCGTTTTGTACTTCCCTTCTTGCCAGTCCCTAAACAGTCAATGTCTATAATAATAGTCAGAAATCTAAATTTTCCTTCTTCATTGCAGTGGTTTATCTACGAAGCCACTCACAGGTTCCACCTGGTTTTACTGACATGAACCATCACCAGAACCACCGCCTTCCTTGCCTTTCTCTTTCTACCATCAATCTGCAACCGTATAGAAACAACTCACAGAAAACAACCAGCCTAAAACATATGTAGAACTGGGAGATGAAGGGCATCTGGCAATAATGTACTGGATGCTCCTTGCAAATAAAGTATTATGGATACACATGAGGGCAGAATGATCCTGGAAGGGGTGTGTGCTAGGAATTATAGCTTTTATGTTAGAGTATCAGATTTAGCATACCAAAGGGTCAAATAGTAGAAAAGGATGATTCCTCAGCAAAACACTAGTCAAAGCTTTCCAGAAACTGATAATGAATTTCAAAGTTGCACACTTCTACCTGTCCATTAGCTAATTTCTGGGAAACAAACTGGTCCACTACCCAAATGTGAAGATAACAAGGCCAATTACAAGTCTCATCTTCTACATGTTGCCAAACATAATGTTAAAACAGACATTGCTTTGTTTTGTGAAAATAAAAAGATGCAAAACTTGAATAGAATAAATGTATGAATAATTACTGCTCCTACAGAAGAGTTAAAAACAAGTGGAGACACACAAGGGAACAGAAGCAATAATCATAGGGGCTAATGGTCTAGATTAACATTTTAATCCAAAATTCTTAGTAACTAATATTAGGTTTGTGGATTAAATTTTAAGCATGACAGCAAAAATATAAACCATTAGGAAACTTGCTAATATAGATTTCATTAATAAATAATTTTGAATGTTAAAAAAAGTATTCCTGGGTAAGGAATTTATATTATATGAAAGACAAAGAGTTAATGTTTTAGCAAATGAAAGCAGTCCTAAAGATAAACATGATCAGACAAAAACATTAATAGAGATACACAACTTTAATGAATAAGCAGAGCACCAAGGAAAACTTACAAATGGTCAGCAAATTTACAGAAAAAAGATACCAAATCTAAATAGCCAAAGGAATGCAAATAAAAGACTACCTTTTCACAAATAAAATTAGAAATTTATGAAAACATCCAATATTCTTGAGGATTCATACATATATTGTTAATAATCTCTCTGATATATTATTATTCCCAAATCCTTAAATTTGTGCATATACTTAAACAGAGAAACTCCTCTTATAGGAATTTATTCCAAAGGGAAAAAATCACAACTAAACACAAGAATGTTGCTCTGCTAGGTATAACACTGAAAAACAGGGAATTATCTAAACATGAAAATTGGTTAAATAAATTTTTGTATCTATGTATGTTATACAATTTTTAAAAACTGTGTTGAAGAAAATATTTAATAGCAAAGAGCTAATTATCACTTACTGTGAAGACTGAAAAAGCATGCTACAAATAATAATCTGACTTAAGTTTTATATAAATATAAACAAAGAAATATGATTCAAAGGTAACACATCAAATGTTAATGGTGGTTATCTGTCTATAGTGAAATTGAGTTTGTTTTCTCTTTTCATTTCCCTATGATCTCTAAAATTTTTACGATGAGTATTCTAAGAAGAGTCCTTTAAGTTTGTTCAAGATAGAGAAAAAAATTGCCAGTGGGAATTGCCATGAAGAATGAAAAAGCGCACTGTCCCAAACAGAAAATAAAAACCAACTGTAGCAAAATGGACCTTTCTATTTATTGTCCCTTCTCAGATTTTTTTAGAACCTTCATATCCAGAAAGTATCTCTAATTATAACATTTAAAAGCATGAGAACAACTTGTTCTGAAAACTTCTATTTATTATCAGCAAAGTATACTCTTATCTGACTGCCCAGCAAACTTGGTTTTCCATTCACTTTAGAATAGACGATAGATGAACATCTTTCTCTTAATTACTTCATACAAGCAAAGCCTTCTATTTGTCAGCTACTGAAAATAGTATTCATACTGACATTACTCCAAAACACATCAGCACAAATTCAATGGCACAATTCCAGGAGCTGGATAAAACCCAGTCTCCAAAGTCTTTCATCGTTTATCTCACAGAACAGAAATTCTTACTGGAGTATAAGAGAGGTGAGGAAATAAGAATTTCAAACTACTAATGTGTTGTCACAGGCTCACCTAGCCAGGTGAGTGGAGTGTTGCCCCCTATTGCTGATTCTTCCCAGCCAGCTCCCTAACATGTATACACAAACACATTGAGAATTCTAGCGTGGGTAGATATTTCTCATTAGAGGCAACTGTCAAGGTCACTGGCATGGAGATATAAAGCTCAGGACAATATCAAAGAACATCTGATGAACCCAAGAGAGAAGGATCTTTTTTACTAGAAAGTGAAAGCATTAGTCACTCAGTCATGTCTGACTCTTTGCGACTCCATAGACTGTAGCTCACCGGGCTCCTCTGCCCATCAGACTTTCTAGGCAAGAATACTGGAGAGGGTTGCCATTCCCTTTTCCAGGGGATCTTCCTGACCCAGGGATCAAACCCAGGTCTCCTGCATTGCAGGCAGATTCTTTACCACTGAGCCACCAGGGACTACACGGCAAGTAATTTATTTCTTGGTCACAAATATAAATGTTACCTTTAAATCTAAGGTCAAATTTTGATTCATTAACCCCTACAACCCCCCAGAAATTCATCAGAACAGAAACAAAAGAACTCTATTCTTTGTGTTTAATATCTAACTTTCTCCTTCAATAGGTGAGTGGATAAATAAAACTATGAGTAAATCCATGTAGTGGAATATTATCCAGCAAAACACAAAATGAGCTATCAAGTCACAAAAAGACATAGAGGGACAAGGAAGTGGTTGCCAGGAACAGATGACCAGGTGGCACACAGGGGATTTTTAGGGCAGTGAAACAATTCAGGATGATACTCCAGTGGCGGATAAACGTCATTATACATTTGTCAAAATCACAGAATGTACAACATAAAAAATAAGCCTTTTGGTAGATAATGTATCAAAACTGGCTCATCAATTATATCAGATGTTCCATACTTATGTAGAATTCAATCAAGAAAGGATATATTAGTCAGAGAAAGTTGCATAAGAAAAATCTGATTTGACCTTTCATCCACAGGTAGGATTTGGAAGATAGATGAAAGAGGAGACAGCAAGAGCAAAGGTGTGGGGGAAGGTTGGTCACATGGGGCAACAGTGAGAAAGAGGCCAGCCCAGAGAAAGGATGGAGCTCCAGGAGTTAAGCGATATTAGTTTCAGGAGACAGAGTGGAGCCAGATTGTTAAAATCCTTGAAAGGCAAGAAGGTGGTGTTTATATTTGATACAGCAGAAAATAGGGTGCCTTAGAAGGTGTTTGAGCAGGAGAGTGATACAAAATATAGTCAAATCCTCACTATTAATGGATTTTGTATTTGCAAATTTACCTTTATGGTAACATTTATTTGTAATCTCCAAAATCAATATTCTTGGCCATTTAAGGACAAAAAAAAAAAAAAATCCCAGTATGTTAAAAATAGAGAGAAATGTGTAAGACGTGGTATATGAGAATTCTCAGTGTTTCTTTCTAATCAATTTTCTTATAAGCCTAAACAGTTTTTTTAAAGTTTATTAATTTTTTTTAAGTTATTTTAAAAAGCTAACAATATAAAGTAAATATACAAGTGAAGAGGGAAAAAAATGAACTTACTTCCGATTCACAATTAGCCACTCCCGAATATAGGTCTGAACACAGTCCCTGACGTGTGGGTCGAGTTCAACCCTAGTGAGATGGAAAAAAACATAAAACAAGTTATCACCAGGTAAAAACAATGAAGCAATCCTTTATCATAACCAAGGAGAGCAGCATGATTTCAAAGCCGTATCAACCGAGAATAGGAAAGGTGTTTTCCAATCCTTTCAAGTATCTGAAATATTCCTAAGGCAGTAACATTTTTACTTTGATGAGACAAACACGTTGGCATTTTATGCTTTGTGTGTTTTCTTTATTACAGAGAACCGTGTTAGACTATACCTATCCCTGAAGGCATTCTGACAGGACAGGTAGAGCTAGCTGTAATCATATAGAAAACAGGAAGAATAAGTATAAACACCAATCTGTCCCAAGGGTGATCCTGGCATATTTTTTGCTCATATGTAACCCTGTTAGGACATGCATGTTTTCCTTTTTGAAAGTCCATGAAAGAGGAGTTGTCTTGTGCTATCAGGAGCTGACAGGCCCTGGCTTTGGTTGGTGATTATTAAGTTGGGTGGCTTTTGTCTACTGGTATAGAGTGAGTCGTGAGCGAGACTCTTAGAATACTTCAGAGACTGGAAACTAGAAATCATGAATTCTCCACAACAGAAAAGGTGTTTTTGTTTTGTTTTGTTTTGTTTTGCTGTTCTTCCAAATGTGTTGATACTATAGATAAACAGGTCTAAATGCTCTAAGTTATAATTTTCTGGTTTGTAAAAAGACGGACAGTACCTGCCTTGTGGACTGCCTGCTAGTTTTAGATGGAATATTGTAAAAGTCAGATGTGTGGTCTCTGGGCCCTAACTACCCAAACCCCAGCCCCATTCCTTATTCCCTATGTGACCTTGGGCCAGTCACTGAACCCTTCTCAGTTTCCTCATCATATGTGGAGATAGTAATCATGCAGTGCTCCTTTGGAGAGCTGTGATGAAGATTAAGTCAGTATGTGAAGTTCTGAGATGAGTGTCTGGCACATAGTAAGACTTTCCTGTGACAGTTCACATTCGTGTGCCATTCATTCTGCACTAGACACTAGAGCAATCCCTCTATGTGTATTAATTCAGTTAATGTCAGTCAGCGCCACAGAACAGGCACTAATATTATTCTTATTTTGCAGAAGGAGGAGATGGAAACATCTTGCTCAAAGTCACTCAGCAAGTGGAAGAGCAGAGACTTGACCCAGGCTATTCACTTGGGAGTGTAGGCTTACACCCACTACAGTATCACAGCTCAACATCAAGGTCCTAGGTAGGCACGTGGGTTCAACAGGAGTCAGCTGTTGTTTGCTCTGATGATGATGATACTTTCCTGGGCTTTAATTATACACCAGTCTTTTGGGCAACAGTTGAAACAGTAGAGAGTGTTTGAAAGCCATCGGACAGAAAATGTGTTAGTTATCAATTCTGGTGACAGGGTAATATTATGCTCAAAAACTGATGGTAGGAAAAAATTATCTCTTCTATCAAATTTCAAAAAAAGAATCCTCCTACATGTAAACTGATTGTATTTTAAACAGGCTTTCCCAAGATTCTGATCTCATTTGAAGACAACCATATATTTTACACAAAGAAATAAAACTAAATGATTCTCTACCAAAGGTAATAATAATAGATGTTACCACTATGAGAGTCACAACTGAACAAATGGACTGACAATAGGGAAGAATGCTTCCCAAGGATCACCATGATTTTGTTTTCTGGGAAGTGAGTGTCTTCAAAATGTTAAGAGCTAAGAATGTGGTCAGCTCTTCTGTGTGAATGAGAACTATCTAAACAAAGACCAAAGGGTCAAAATAATACCATGTCACTGTCATCCAACTTCCTAAACTGTGATGAAATAAAATCCAAACTAAAACTGAAATATCCTCGAGTAATGAGGGTAGTGGCCTGTTTTATGATCTCCTTTCCAGGACTTTTTGGGAAAGAAAAGAAGGGTGAGAATGTCCAGGAGAATGTGAATCTTAATCTGCTTTAGAAAATGAATGCAAATAAAAGCTCATCCTAAACCTCCAAAGAGACACTGCTTTCTACACTATGGAAATAAAGATGTTACATCTAAAAATAATTCCATAATTTGATACCAATCCACATGGATTAACCCACTGAAGAAATGCAACTGTAAGTAGCTATTCATATATTCACACTACAGAGCTTTCCCCATTGTTTTTCCACTTGACAAAACTTGCTTCAAGAACAGGAACTTTGCCTTATTCATCTTTTTATCCCTGTTCTCAGCATATAGGAGATGCTCAAGAAAAGTGGATTGAACTTACTTTTGTGACTTGATCCAGTCTCATATATGGGAAACAATCAAAATGCTTCTGAATGGAAGCAGTTCAATGATTATTATTTTTGGAAACTGAGATTTTCTGAGGTCTCATGACACCCATGCTCACTGAGCTGACACCTGGGCAGTCTGGGTCTAGAGCCTGCACTCTTCACTTCTTCTTAGGCAGTCCATTTTGTCCCACTGCAGTCCTTTAACTGGCTTAGACCCCAAGTGGCTTTTCAAGGCCTTTGGTCAAACCAATTCAAAAACTATCTACCTGGAAGTGACAGTGCTATAGAAGTTATCCTGCACATCTTGACAGATTTGAGTAATGTCACTTGTAAGAAAAGTCCAGAATTAGGGTATCTCCCCCTTACCACGAACAGTCATGACAGTCATAATCCCATCCACATTTTCAGAAAACAATTTACCCTTCCTCCGGTAAAGAAGGCTGCAAAGTTCGACATTCCTTCGGTGTGAACACCACATCCAAGTCGTCCTCGGAGAAGTCTCCCAGCTCCTGGGCAAGCTCCACATCCAGGCTGTTCAGGTGTGTCATCAGAAGTCCTTCAAAGTCCACTGGCTCCACGGGGTCATAGAACTGAGGCTGGGGGCCGGGAGAGGACAAGGACGTTCCCACACGGTTTGGGATAAAAGCACTAAGGAGACAGAAGATGCATGCCTTGCCCTCCCTCTCCTCCCAGCTAAGTGGGGCTGTGTTTAGAGAAGATGTCAAACACAGAAGCGGTGATATGGAAAGGAAAAGAAACGCAGCGTGGAGAGTCAAGTCAGAACACGGTAAGTAATTAAAATCACACCCCAAGGCAGAATTTTTCTCTGTTTAATTGCATCTTGATGAGGATTCCTAAGGAGATCCAAAATGAAATCACAAGGTTTTCCTGCATTTTTATAATTTCTCTTGCCAAAGCTCTCTGAGGCCACGTTTACCCAAATATAGTGAAGCAGTGAACTGGAAGCAATTTTCTAGAAATTCAGGTAAACTCAACTCGGAGTATTCAGGTACAGTGTTTTATTTGGCCTGAGTCATCCTCTACATTGATCTTGAAAGCACTTCATTCGTAATCACAGCCCACAGTGAACCAGCCTGGGTGGCTGGGACACTCCAAGGCAGTGATTTCCAAACACTGCTGGGCTGCCTGGTGCCAGCAGGGAAGAACTTGTCACTGACTGCAGTTAAATGAGCAAACGAAGGACAATGGGCTAAGTATTTTTAAGGCTAAATGTACTTGCTTTAAAAGGATTGTTTTTGGGGTTTTTTTGGTGTTGATTTTTGTTTTGGTGTTTTTTGTTTTTTGTTTTTTTTGCTCTTCAATTACATCCTTCCAAAGTGAGGAGGGGGTGGGGGGGAGAAATGTTATAAATAGATGGTAATTTAAAAATTAATTTTCCGCAGGCGATAAAAGAAAAATGTATGAAAAGTGTTAAGTCTCTCAGTCACGTCCAACTTTTTTCGACCCCCTGGACTGTAACCCACCAGGCTCCTCTGCCCATGGGATTTTCCAGGCAGGAATACTGGAATACTCCAGACGTTCCTTTTTGCAAGGGATCTTCCCAACCCAGGGATTGAACCCGGGTCTCCCACATTGCAGGCTGATTCTTTACCCTCTGAGCCACCAGGTGATAAAAGAAAAAGTTGGCAATTCAACACATTTTTTCTACCTTGTGAAACTCACTTAAACTTAGGAAACCACTGCCTTAACGGAATAAAGATAATTTAGATCAAGTTGACGTGTGTGGCAGTGGTAGAAGTAGCGGTAACAGCAGCAGCAGCAGCCCCGTGGTGTTCGTCTATGGCAGACTATTTGGAGTCATCAGTCCAGGAAACACCCCAGATTCTTGACTTGTACTGTCTCGCTCTGAAACAAGGACAGATCCAAAGAAAGTGCTGACAAAACCGGTTTTTCATCATCCTGAAACCATACACCAGACTAGATGTAAGGCTCCAGGCTGGAGAAGGGGAACAAAGTGTCATGGAAGAGGCAAGAAGATTAGAGAACATAAGTGTGGCTTGCCCCGTCTCCTCCCACCTCTGTGTCCCTGGCGATGGTGGAGACGCGAGCGACATAGGGAAGAGGGAGGACAAAGCTGACAAGAGAGCAAACACAGGCCTTCCTTGTCTGAGATTCTCGGAGGGCTGGCTCACATAATGCCCTGTGGCAGCTGGATCACAGAGGGCAGAAGAGAAGGGAACAGGAAGTCCTTCACTAGGAGAGAGCCAAGACACTCCCCTGGTTGTCCAAGGCTCTATGAGGCATGACTGAGGACACAGAAGTCTCCCTGGGCTCTGACTGGGGACCTGGAGGTCACTAAGAGGGTGGGCCTCTTCAAATGAAGCAGCTGGGACCAGCAGCAAGCTCAGAGAGCTTGGGATCAGCCTATGCAGAAGCAGGTGGGGACAGAGTTGGCAAAAAGACACTGTTGACATCTGCCGGGGGACAACAGGCATTATACATGCACAGAACCAAAAAAAAAAATCTACTGTAGACTGTCATGAGATCAACCCCAAAAAAGAAAGCAGACTTTCCCACTCTCTACCACAACATGGCACAGAGTTCAGGGAAAGGGACTGAAATGACTTCACCTTGAAATGAAGAGGCTGCACTGTTTGCATACTTCGCCTTATTACTGTTAAATTTATATCCTTGAACTGGAAGTTGTTGAGCACTATGTGCCAAGAAGTTGTCATTCTAGACATTATCTCATTTAATCCTCACCAGAACTCTGTAAGCTTTTATTTTACAGATGAGGACACTGAAGGCTAGAAATTTAATAATTCACCCAGGCATAACTGCATAGCTGGGAAGTAGTCCATGTGGAATTCAAACCTAGGCAGACCCCTAATTTTTCTTTCTCTTGCAGGTTCTCCATGGAACTAGATTTCCAGAAATAATTAAAACATGAGACAGCAGTAAGTGTGTTTAGAAGAGTTAAAAAATCTATTTTCTACCATGCAGAAGTTCTACTCTGAACTTCTCATGAGATTGGATCCTCAAATTAATAATCATGAAGTAATTCATTAAAATAATACTAGTGTGAATTTATCACACAGAATATCAATTATTTAAGCAGAAGCATTGAAAAGATATACTGAAAAATTACACTGAAGCAAAATTTGCAGCAATGTGGATACTAACACTAATAACTAGTGCGTAAGAAGCTCCCATAGAGAAATGGCAGTTGTGTGAAATCACCAGAGAGAAAAAAGATTTAGGTCCAGCCTAAGTATTATAATTGTCATGTCCCTAAAATTCGAAAGGGCTTCCAGGGTGGCTCAGACAGTAAAGAATCTGCCTGCAATGTGGGAAACCCGGGTTTGATCCCTGAATCAGGAAGACATTCTGGAGAAGGGAATGGCAACCCACTCCAGTATTCTTGCTTGGAGAATTCCATGGACAGAGGAGCCTGGCAGGCTACAGTCCATAGGATTGCAAAGAGACACAGAGCGTTTGAGCAACTAACATTTTCACTTTTTAACATTCAAAGTCACAAGGATTACAAAAAAAGCCTGGCTGATAATGACACTTGTCACCTATTGGACAGGCTGCCCAAGAGCCAGGGAAAAAGGACAGCTGACTCCCTCATTCAGCAATTACTTGCTAAACATCTAAGTGCATGTCACTGGAGGACTTGCCTGGTGGTCCAGTGGCACTCGCAATGCAAAAGGCCCGGGTTTGATCCCTGGTTGGGGAACTAGATCCTGAATGCTGCAACTAGAAGGTCCCAAGTGCCACAACTAAGACCCAGTGCAGCTGAATAAATAATTAATACAAACAAATATTAAAAAAAAAATAAACACAAGTCACTGAGCTGGCCCTTAGGGAGCTGCTCTTTCTACAGATCTTGAGTCAACTGTGGGACAGGAAAGTCTGACACTTTCTCACATATAAAATAATGCTATCTTTGGAGGGGGGAGCTATGAAAAAGTATATAGTATCATCATTGAACACTGTGTGGCAATGTGCCAAATGCAATATGCACAATTGATCATAAAGTCATAATACTTTTAAGGTGTGAGTCTACTTCAGGACTGAAGAGACTATAAAAATAAGCCATAATGATAGAATTACTGAGCATTAGTCTAATACTACACACAGCCAGCATTTAAGAACTAGTCACCCTACACTTTCTATGCTGAAACTAACAAGGGAGGAAACTGTTGTTTCAAAGATGATATAAACTAGCTCTGCTGTTGGCAAGTGAGTGGAGATGCCAGCTACTGTTAACCAGGCCTCTGAGCAAGTTGCTCCTCTTGCATATTCAAATAATAAACAGGAACCAAAAGAGATTTCTGTCCTCCAAGTTATCTGAAGTCAATCTCAAGAGTAGGTTTTATATATTATGAAGCAATCAACACATACCCACATACATAATGCTATTTAGGTATAAACAAATATTGAGGAGATTTACAGTGGTATTGTGTGTCTCTGGGGGCTAAAGTTTGGGAATGGAGTGGGGCGGGGGGCGGGGGATGTTCTAAGATCAGTCCCTTGGCGTCTTGGGAGGATAAAAGTCAAACATGAAAATTTACTGTTTTTGTTTTCTCTGCTACTGAGTTATATGTGACCTAATCAGTGGAGACTCAGACTAGTTTGAATGATCCAAAGTAATTTCAAGTTAATCTTATCCAAGGAATTATCATTTGTTAAAATAGTGTATGAAAAAAACCTAAATAATCAAAATAAAAACAAAACAAAAAAATAACTTAAGATAGCAAATTATCCTAAATCAGACTTTGACTGTAATGGCTTTGTGATCTTTCAACTTGGCTCAGCAGAACTACATTCCTACAAACCCCCTTCCTAGTATTTTTCCAGGTGGGGTGGGCCACAAGGGTTTTCTCTTGCCAGAACTGGAGGACAGAAGGGAGGCTGCAGTTATTCGGCAGCATACACATACCTACTGATACAGTCAACACCAGCTGAAGTGCTGCTGTAATGTGACATTACAGTGACATTACAGACATTATAAACTTAAGTTCATCAAAAGGGAGATTAGCCTGGGTAGCCTGACTTAACCAGTTGGATGCTTTTTCAAAGAGGGTGGAGGCTCTCTGGAAGTTCCAGGGCTTCAAGCTTTAGATCACGCCCATGGAGTTCCAGCTTGTTATGATCGTGTCTTCCTGACTGCCCTATGGACCTCAGGCTTGCTTAGCCAGCCACCACTAGTGGGTAAGCCAATGCCCCGTAATCAGTTCCTTAGTATACGTGAAGATGCATCTCCTACCAGCTCCACTGCTCCAGTTGAATCCAGATTAATACACCTACTTTCACTCCTTCAACATATATTCACTGGTGTCCTAAGCAGTCCAGCAGTAGGCCAAGGAGACACAGTCAATGCCCTCGATCAATTTTCAACACTCCTCTAGTGAAGATTTGTGCAGTCTTTCTTTCTAGCTATTTTTTTCCCCAGAGGTATGATCAACAGAAGACTAGAAATACACAAAAATAGTATAAATACTTTAAAGGCTTAAATTATTCACAAATATTCATTTTTTTAAATGAAGAGGGTCTGAATTTTTCTTTGTCCTTTAATGTACATCAATGGCTAGTTCTCTTGACATGGGGTACGATTCAATTTGAAATTGAA